GGGTCCTGATGCTTTTCGGGATTTATATAACTCCTGGTAATCTTTCTGTAAGGCTCTGTACTCATCCTCACCTTTTTCTTTATCTTTTCTCAACATTGCACATTGTGACGAATGAAAGTCAATGTCAACCCCCAACATAGCTTTATCTTGTCTCATTTGTTCTAATTCTTTCGTCCAGCCATCTCTTTCTGCTTCAAACTCAGCTCTCAGGATTTCAATCTCTGATGGAACCACCTTGATGCGATCATCCATAGAAATATCCTCATTTTGATCTGGTAGAGGAATATTTTCATTTTTCCTGACAGATCTCCATTCTTCATAATCAGGAGTTAGCATTTCTTTTGCTGCTTTAGCTCGGATACAAAAAGTTGTTTTCCAAGCTGTAACGGCTTCCATGATGTTTCTTTTATAATTTTTGCTGTGGAATGCAAACTCAGATGACTGTAGTCCAGCAGTGACAGGTATAAATTGACGACCTTCATATTGTCTTATAACCAGAAGTGGAGCAATTTCCTCCCCATAATCCGAGCAACATTATCCAGTTGTAATCACCACATCTGTAAATGAATTCCCTTTGTATTTGCCACGGGGCTCGCCAAACAACGTCATTGCTTTGCAAATTTCGAAAGGCATAATCACATATTTTTTTTATTTCTTTCGGCCATTCCTGCTCCAGAAATTCCTTTAATGGTGAATAATCCGTATTAAAGCGTCGGTATGAAACCTTTTCTGTTCTCCAGAAATGACTACGGATCCAAACATATAACAACTGAGTACACCCTGAGAATCGTCCACCTCCTAACCTTCTGCAAGCATTTAATGATCTGAAGGTCTCTGCTAGGATTGCAGAAACAGGATTAATCTTCTTTGGTATTGTTCAAACAAGTTACCACTGCAGCTTCAATATATCCCAATACTTTTGGGAAGATGACCATACCTATATACCCAGAGCAAATAGATCGAATCGTACTTTAATATCTGGATGGCTCTGAATAAGTTCTCTAATGTTGGTCCAAGCAATGCTTCGCTTTCGCCTTTTTGTTTTGTACGGGCCGCTACCCATTCTTCTCGTACCCCGGCAATCTTTGCTAATTTAACTCGGAAGGGTTGAGTTTTAATTGACTTTGAATAGATTCGATTCTCCAAAGCCCCTTCGATATGTAACAAAGTTGTGTATTCTTCAATAGTAGGGACCAAGTCCTCCTTATTGAAAGTGAAGCAATTGTACCCTGGATTCCAGAATTGAACTAGGGCTCGGAGTAATTCATCATCAACTTCTACATAGAGCAGATATGGGATATCTCCGTAAGTCTGATAAAACTGCAATTTTTTGTTTGAATCCCAACTTTCCCAAATACCTCGCAAATCTTGCAGATCATTTCTTTTTAGTGAAACTGAAGCAACTGGCCAAGTCAGATACATAATCATCTGGCAGACTATCTCCTTCTTGTCTTTGTAAATCTTCAGCCCCACTGTCTTACTTCTGAGTTTAGAATTACTTGACTTGAACCCTTTTTATCCATGGATGAAGGTTTTCCAATGAGACTATTAACACAAGGATCAATGTCTTTTATCCTGTATGATGCAATGCAAACAGAAAATTAATGAACACAAAAAAAATAAGTTAGTTTAAAGGATAATAACAGTTATATTTAATTTAAACATGCTTTTCTAAATAATTTAAATAAACATGTAAAATAAATTAACAGGAAAGACATAATTCATTTCTCCTGTGTACACCTATTTGGACAAAATTTCGGCATGACTTCTGATGGAAGAGTTTCTAAGGTTTTTTATATGCAGGGTTTCAGAACTAGGAGTAAAGGTACCCGAATTGTCCTTGTTAGTGCCCCCTTGGGTTGCTAACCCTCAATCCTAGTCCATTACAGACTAAAGTGAATCGAGTTCAATTCGAGGGGATACATTTCTCTATGCCTGACACGAAGAATAAATTCTCACGAAGACATAGGCATATGAACCCCGAAAGTTACTTGCTAGGTCTGACACGGAGAATAAATTCTCACGAAGACGTCGCTTTCACTTCCACTTAAAAGGGACAACTCAATTATAGAGCTTTATGTAATGCAATGCAAGTGTTGTGTGAGGAGAAATGTTCAAACCTTTGACATAAAAATAATACTGAAATAAAATACTTGCAAATAAAATAAACATATTAAAAAAATAATAAAAAAAAAAATTTAAAAGAAAGAATTAAAAATTAAATATATGAATTTTTAATTTTTTATTAATAGAGACAAATTATAATCGATTTTTAAAGTTTGACCAGGGTCCCCAGCAGAGTCGCCAAGCTGTCGTAACCGGTTTTCGTCCGGGCACGAAATATAAATTTTGGGGGGGAAATTAATGTTAATAAATAATTTTGAAAATATTTGTGAGTCGCCATCGACCTTGGATCAGGTAGGTCGAATACCTAAAAATTATTTTTTAAAAGAGTTTTAAGAAACATCAATTAAAAAAATGAACTGATCTGCGTTTTAAACCAAAAATTTGTTCTTTTAATAAAAAGGGGTTCGTGGTCGGTTACGTTTAGGGAAGGATTAGCACCCCTACAACGCCCAAATTGGTACTTTTTAATTATAAATTGTCTCTATATTAAAATTTAAAAATTCAAAAATATATTTAATTTATAATTCTATTATTTCAAAATTATATAAAAAATTTTTTATTAAAAATATCCGAAAAGAACTTCTAGGTACCTTAAGACAGCTCTTTTTCTTTGATATTGATAAATATTAATTTAAATAATTGTTTAATTTTAAAATATCAGGATAGGACATCCAGTTGTATTAAGACTGTCCTTTTCTTTGATATTAAAAATAAATATTTTAAAAGTTAATATTTATTATATATATTTATGAATATATATCAAAAATATTTAACAATATAAAAAATAATTCTATTAAACAATATATTTAAAAACAATAAAATAAATTAAATAAAAATAAATGACTAAATTGCAGTAAAATATAAATTAAAAATCTAATTCATAATTAATCAAAACTATAGGGATTAAATAGGTTATTTTTTTATTTTTATTTATTTAGTGACTAAAATAAAATCATCTAAAATTCGGATATTAGATCAATAAATAAAAAAATATAAGCTAGGGATTAAAATATTATTTATTAAAATTAAAGGATTAAATACGTATTTATCCTAAATATTATTAATAGAAAGGACTAAAATAAATAAATCCACAATTAAAGAACCAAATTATAAAGATCTAAAATTAGGTTCAGTGACTAAAATATAAAGTTTAAAATTCAGAGGACTGCGGAAAGGATTTAACCTTTCTATAATTACGCACAGGTCCTCCCTTAAACGACGCCGTTTAAGAGAGGGTATAAATACCCTAGGTTGGCTGGCCCTTCGGGCCAACATCTCATTTCTCCTTTCTTTTTCTCTCTCTCAAACTGAGAGAGATTTCTCTCTCTCTCTCTAGGTTTCCCTCACCGGAGGGAAACCGGCCATAGGCCACCGTACTCCGCCGCCGGCCACCGCCGCCGGCCACCGTAACGGTGGTCGGAATTCACCAAAAACACCCCCAAATTGTAGATCAAATACCTAAGACCGATTCCGGTCTTTGTTTCTCTAAAAGACTCCTAATCGGAGTAAATCTAAACAAAACCGAAGGGTTCTACCTTCTTAAACGGCGGTTTGGCAACGTTTGGCTTCCGAGGGCCACAAAGGCTTCAAGGGTAAGTCTTCTTCTTCTCTTTTCCTTTGGTTTACTGCTGTGGTTGTAGACTGGGATCGTTGGTATAGCTTATTTTTTTTCCTTTCTCTGTTTTTTTTTTTTTTGGTTTCTGTCTCTCCTGCGGTCTCTGTTTCTGTCTTTTTTTTTTCTTTCGCAGGTGGGTGGTGGCTTTTATAGCCACCACCGGTGTTCGTCTCGGACCGGTCCGAAGAGCGGGGCCTCGGTGAGTCACCGGACTACCAGTGGTGACTCACCCCGTAGCCTTGCATGGACGGCTGGCGTTGATCTTCTGGAAGCATCATTCGGGACGTGGCGGGCGGAGGCGGTGAGGGCTTCTGGAAGCAGCAGCGGTGGCGGTGGACGTGTCCCTAGGGTATAGATACCCTAGGGTTTCCTCTGGCAAATGATGGACCGTTGGATCAAACCAGATCCAACGGTTGAGATTGAAGATGGCGGCTGGCGGCTGGCTAGATTAGGGTTAGGGAACCCTAACTGGAAACCCAAATATTTAGGGTTTCCGGTTGGATTTGGACCGGTTTCAGTTGGTTTGTAACTGAGCCGGTTTAATTGTAACTGGTTTGTATTTAATATATTTAATAATAAAAATAATAATAATATATTAATAATAATATTAAAATATAATAATAATAATAATAAATAATAATAATATAATAATAATAATAATAATAATAATAATAATATGGATAAAAATTTAGTATCTTCAACTAGGATGAAGCAAACCTGTCATTTGCAATTTACACCTCTCTGCACCACCCGGTTGCTGCACTGTTTATTGCACCCACATTTGCTCCAACACTCTTTTATAACTTTTCTCTTCAAGTGACCCTTACAGGGCTCTGGAAAGTCATCCATTTTTTATCTCTCAAGGGGGCACGCTGTACAAGTGAGAAGACATTGTTTTTGAGGATCACAAGTCATAGATATACATTCTTCCAAGAAGTCTTCCTTGATAACACCTGCCACAGTATAAGCAAAATTTCACCCAGCTTGACAAGCACATGCACAAGGCTTCTGGGACAAGAGACAATCTCCAAGACATGTAGGACAACATCTTTCATCTCCAATCCGAAAAAGAGAAAAACTAACACAGGCATTTTGAAATACCAAGTTTTCTGAAATAAATTGAAACGGTGGAGGAGAGTCTTTACTAATTTCATTTACCCATGAAATTTCAACATTTTCTTCTCCCTTTGTTATGTCACTTGCATCATGAAGACACCTTAGTTCATTAGGTGTAAGATCAAGATGACACTGTGGAGAAACCATCAATTCCTCTCCCCCAACATGGTTCACAAATCCATTTGCAGAGCAGTGATTATTGAAGATCCATTTAAAAGCCTAGCTACCACACAACCATTCCCCTCAACATTCTCAACATCACAAGCATCCTTTGCAGGAGATTTCTTCAATACATCAAGAGCTAGCATCTCATTACCTTCCTGCCATTGATGATAAAAATTAGTTGCCAATTCCAATAAGCACTCACACGTATCAGTCAGAATTTTGATAACACCAAAATTTGGGTCAATGAGTTTATAAGATTGGAGACATCTCTGCTCCAGCAGTTCTTAGTTAATCTACACTAGTCAACTGGAAATTTGGACTTCCAAGAGCATAATTGTAACTTACAGAAATCTGCACCTCTCCCGGAGGTGATGAGGCAATCTCTAGTGCAGAAGGAATTTCATCAGGATCAGTAGCTAGCTCACAACTGGTATACCTTGCACTCACAGAAGCTGAAACATCAGCACCTGCAATTTCAATTGAAAAATCCCCAACAAAAAAATCTCCTCCACTTAATGTATCTACAAAAAATGTGCAGTAAAATAAATAACGGAATAAAAATATAGAAAAAAACAACTCAAGAAAAGAATCGATTACAACTTTAATATCCAACAGAGTTAAAATGCTGATTAGCACATTCTCTGTATCACAAAATGGATTTATATACAAAAGATTAGGATCATCACTGAAATAACAAATTCCACACATGTTAAATTATTACATGCAGAAATCAGTTGAAATCACGAGTGTAATAACCATAGGTAATGCTTAGCGAAGTTAACAGGTTGACAACAATACAGTCTAAAGGCTATACCCAAAATTTACAGAACATATAGCAACACGGCACACTCCAGACTATTGCTTTTCAGTTTCCGTGCAATTTTATAGTAAATTGGGAAAGCCTAGATTAAAAAAAATATGAATATTCTCCAACATACATGTATAGATAGATAGATATATATATTTCTACACTAAGACCCACTAAAAGTGGGCAAAGATGGAACTAAATGTTGTAAGCATGACAATCTAAAGAGGAATTTTAACTATTCTTAACACTGGTTCTTGACTACCCTATAAAGTATTACAAAAACTATCTAGTTAAAAAACTTTAGTGGATTACAAAAACTATGCAGTTTTTGCAATCCACTAAAATCACATCCACTTTACAGAACAGATTACAAAAACTTTACATGTAAATGGACTTGGTGAAATTAGATGCTAGAAAATTGCCACAGAGCTATCCAAATAAAGATTTGAAAAGAAAAGTGAATTGGGGAGGGGGAATGCATTTATCTAGGAATTACAATAACTTACCCGGGTGAATAACTGCAATAGGAACCTCATCCTGTGGTACATCATTAGCAAATGACTCTTCCATGGGTATTATCGGGGCATGATTAGCAGCGACGGTTGTTAGAAGTATAACAATCCGAGACGATAAAACAAAAGAAATTTATTATTTAAATAATTGATTCACATAAGTTGTGATAACATTTAATTTCACGGTAGGATCTCTTCACAAAATTCGCGTACATGAAACAAGAAAACAAACAAACAATTAATGGGATGGAAAAACCATTGTATTAAATAATCAGAAATAATATAAAATAGAAATAAATACACTATTAGAACCGGAACAATCGATTTGAAACGAATCGAGGCCTGTAGCTACGCAGCTTCCTTAAGACAGATTTTCTGCCACTCCATGTGCTCGAGATCTTTGCTCGTCTATCTCCCAGGATACAACAACGAGATGATCGGTGTATAGTAGCACAACTATCGAGATCACGGACTATTCCATTTCTTCATCTATCACAAAAAAAAAACTATAGGAAAAGAAAACTTTTTGAATAGTTTTTGAGTTGTTTGAATTGTGTTTAACATAATAGGTTTACACGGTATTTATAGAGATTTCATATTGTGAACAATTGAAATTTTTTGACCTAATGAAGTATTAATGAAAATCAAGCAACCAATCAATTTCCAAAATTATTGTTTTAATTAAAGGAACATTTTAATATTTATCATTTTAATTCCAAAACAAATTTTGAAAATATATGCTCTATTTAAGGAAAATATTTCACATTTGTGTTAAAATATTCGCAAGCCCACAAAGAGCCTGGCCAATTCAGACATTAATGTTACCCACATCGTGCATGTCTACACATGAATGAACCAACAATTTGGTTCCATATTTTTCCTCAACAATGTTTAGATCAATTTCTCATTCAAAGCTCTAAAATTATCGAATTTTTCCAACAATCCCCCACATGAATTAAATTGATCATTTTATCAAAATCATTTTAACTCGATGTGGTGATAGACTCAACGATCGATAATTGCATAGGATAGGTATGTGTCCTCCTTTGAATCTTCCCTTGTGACGACATATTTACTTTACTAGCTGGCTAGTAGACGTGATGTCCTTGAACTATTCTACTGTTTGTTTAAATGATAATATACTTCACACAAGTACCTATCTGACAAGAATTTCAATTCTCATGGGTACGTCCTTAAAGTTATGGATATCGCCTGGTTCTACAAGAGTTTAAAAGAAATATGCCCAATAGTCTCCTTGAAGTGGCCCTACTTCACTCTCACATAGGTGACTTATCTTGCTCGACTTATCGAAACACACAACGGTCATTAAAATCTTTGTTTAGACTATACCAATTTGATCATTGTTTACATCATAGGAATGAACTTGGGAAAATAAACCTACACAATAGTCTCCTTGAAGCGGCCCCACTTCACTCTCACATAGGTGATTTATTTTGCTCGACTCATCGAAGCACACAATGGTCATTAAAAGTTTTGCTTAGCCTATACCAATTTGATCCCTATTTACATCATAGGAACAAACTTGGGATAATAAACCTCCACAATTATCGCACACGGTTTATGCAATTAGGTTATCCCTTTGAACCTAGCTCTTGAAATATCCAATCAACAAGATAGGGTTTTCCTTCATATAAAGCCTTTAATTTCATGGGCTTTAGTTTAATTACTTTTGATGTTTTTTGAACTTGATCTCAATATTAACCCTTCGGTTAGTAAATCTGTGATGTTATCCTTTGATCTTACAAAATCAACAGTGATAACTCCATTTGAGATCAGTTGTCTATTGGTATTGTGTTGATGATGTATATACTTCAACATACCATTATATACATAAAGTTTTATGTTCAACCAATATATGAATATTGTGGGCACAAACTTTGGTTGTTCAAGAGTATCCTCCAAGAAATTCTAAAGTCATTCAACTTATTCTCTAGATTTGTCTAGATCTACAAACTCATATTCCATTTTGGATTTGATTATAACCATTTTCTTGAGGATTTCTATGACATGATTCCTCTTCCCAATGTGAAATATATTCACGTGTTTCTTTAATATCTTGAATATCAAATATTCAAGTGGCATTATAGTATCCTTCTAAGGAAGCATGATCTTGAGATAATACAATCCATACTCTTGAGCATATCTTAGATATCTCAGTTCTCTCCTGATTACTTTTCAAAGGTTTGTTTCAACCTTTTGCTGAGCATATAGACTTGTCTTTATTGATAGTCATCTTCCTTAGTTTTATAATGGAATATATTTTCAAAGAATAAGACATTTTGAAGTAATTGTAGAAATATTTTCTACATTTCTGTAAGGCATAATGCAAACAAATACCCCTAACGTTTGACAATATATGCAAATTTGCCCCTATTATTTTTTTTTGAACATTTGACCCCACAACATTTTATTTTGATTCAAAAGTCACCCCCGTTGGATGGAAACTGTAAGTTAACTGACGGTCAACGCCTCCAGCTGACTAAGCAAGCACATATGGACACAAATGATGACATGGCATGTCCACATCACTAAGTATGCTGACATGGAATTGACACATCAAATTTTATTTTTTGTAAAAAATTATTATTTTTATAAGAATATTTTACCAAAGAGAGAGCGACACGTGTCGCTCTCCTATTAGTACAGATTTAGAGGAATGAAGAAAAACTCATTTGTGTGGAAGGGGACTCAAACCTGAGGTAAGGGTATGAAATGGTATGCCTCTTGCCACCAGGCCAAGCGGACTACTCGGATTTATAATGAAACAAAACCTTATTTAATCATAATTTCTTTTCAATTTAATTGAACAAAATAAAACACGTGTTTCAAGCCCCGAATACATCTACGTTTAATCTCATTTTTTTAAATAGTAATCTCTTGAAGAGATCATGTTTGGGTATTTCAGAAGTTTAGTTGAAATAAGTTTCTTTCAAGAGGTAGAAGAAGATGAACATTGGAGTGTAACATGTAAAATATATGATTTTATGCATGATCTTGCTGAATCGATAGTAGGGATGGAGAGTTACATTCTAGATTCAAATTCAAGTATAAGTGAGATTGATGAGAAATGTCGTCACATATCGATTGATTTTTCATTAATTCATTTGTTCAAGGGAAAGAAATTGTGGAGTTTGTTACCTTCTCCAAACAGTAGACTTGGGATTGGATAATTTCAAATAGTAGATGCTTGCGTGTTTTAGAATTGGGTATGTTAAATCTAAATACAGTTCCAGACTTTATTCATAAGATGAAACATTTGAGTGCCTTGATCTTTCTTGGAATGATCTTAAGATCCTTCCTAAGAGTATTTGCAAGATACAAAATTTGCAAGTGCTGAAACTCAACTGTTGCTTTGGGCTTAAAGAATTGCCAAAGAAGATTGAAAATTTGGAGAATCTTACACATCTTCCGTGTCCGTGTGTTGTTTGTCGGGGGTTAACTCATATGCCACGTCGAATAGGGAAGTTGACTTCGCTTCAGACGTTAAGCATGTTTGTTGTGGATAAAGACGGTTCCCATGGTGCTGTTGCTGCAGACCTAGGTGAATTGGGTGGCCTCAACAGCTTAAGGGGAGAGCTAATAATAAGAAATATGGTATTCGTAAAAAATGCAAAAGACATGTTTAAAGCTGCCAATTTGAAAGGGAAGCAACACTTGTGAAGTTTGGTTTTAGCATAGAGTGGTGATAATGAAGATGAAGAGAAATCACTTGAAGACCTCCAACCCCATCCTAATCTGAAGAAATTGGCTGTGAGCGGGTGGAAGGGTAATGTTGAATTTCCAATTTGGCTTTCTTTGCTCACAAACCTCACTGATATTACAATATGGGGACCCAGTAAATTTGAACATATCCCTTCCTTTGCTCGATGGCCACATCCTCAACAGCTTTACATTTGTGATCTATCTAAGTTGGAGTCCATGGACGACAGTGAACCCAGTGGACGACGAGGAGAATCAAAATCAATCTTCCCATCACTTAAATTTCTCAGGCTCAGTGACTGCCCAAATATGCAGAGTTGGTGGAGGAATAGGCTGATGGATAACAATAGCAACGACAACGACAACATGACGATCATAGGAACATCAACAATGGCATTTCCTTGTCTTTTCGAGTTATGGATTTAGGATTATCCTTTGACTTCTATGTCGTTGTATCCATCACTTGATAAGAAGCTAAAGTTTATGAATATCAGTTTAAGGCCGTTAAAGCATATCATTCATATAAATATAATACCCTCAACCTCTTCCATTCCTCTCTCCAAATTGAAATCTTTCAAAGTGGAGAATTTTGAGGAATTGGACCCTGATGTGCTAGATAAATGCCTCCAAAATATGACTTCTCTTGATGAATTGGACATTACCTCTTGCCATTGGCTAAATTCTTTCTCTGGGTGGTTGGAACACTTGTCCAGTCTCAAAAGTTTAAAAATAAGAGATTGCAAGGAGCTCGATTTAGAGGCCATGCAGTGGGGACTCCTTACGAATCTATCTCGTTTGGTGATTGGTAATATTCCACAACTTGTGTCTCTCCCCCTTTCCCTTCAAAATCTTGTTCACTTGAGAAAGTTAGAAATTAAGAATTGTAGTGGATTGAAGTCACTCTTTCCCAGCTTCCAACATCTCACTTCCCTTTAAGAGTTCAACGTAAGAAACTGCAAGGAGCAGGAGTTATCTGCAAATGGAGTCCAAATATTCCAAGATTATACAAGCCTACGGTTTCTACGGCTGGAAAATATTCCCGAGTGTCGGTATCTTCCGGAGTGGCTTCAACATCTAAAAAAATTGAAAGAGTTTTATCTCACTGATTTAAGCAATTTAACATCGCTTTAAGACGAGATGCGTTGCCTAACCAGTTTGGAAGAGTTATGAGTTAAATAAGGTTTTGTTTCATTATAAAATCAAGTAGTACGTTTGGCCTGGTGGTAAGAGGCATACCATTTCACACCCTTGCCCCAAGTTTGAGTCCCCTAACACACAAAATAGGTTTTTTCTTCACTCCTCTAAATCCGCACTAATAGGAGAGTGACTTTATTGGTA